GGATTGCATTGTATCTGTAGATTGCTTTGGGTAGAATTGACGTTTTCACAATGTTGAGTCTTCCTATCCATGAGCAAGGTATGTTTTTCCACTTACGTAAATCTCCTTTGGTTTCTTGCAGTAGTGTCTGGTAGTTTTCTTTGTATAGGTCTTCACGTCTCTGGTTAGATTTATTCCTAAGTATTTTATCTTCTTGAGGACTATTATAAATGGTGTTGATTTGGTGATTTCTTCTTCAAAGTTCTCTTTGTTGATATAGAGGAATCCAACTGATTTTTGTATGTTTATCTTGTATCCTGATACTTTGCTGAAATCTTCTATTTAGTTCCAGTGGTTTTCTTGTGGATTCTTTGGGGTTTTCTCTGTATAAGATCATATTATCTGCAAATAAAGATACTTTTACTTCTTTCTTACCGATTTGGTATATGTCTGTGAGATCAGGTTGGTTCATTGTGGCATTCAGATCTTCCATGTGTTTATTGAGCTTCTTTCTGGATATTCTGTCCCTCACCAAAAGTGGTGTGTTGAAGTCTCCCACCATTATTGTGGAGCTGTCTGTTTCTCTTTTCAATGCTGTTAGAGTTTGTTTCATGTATTTAGGAGCCCTATTGTTGGGTAAGTAAATATTTATTATGGTTATGTTCTCCTGGTGTATTGACCCTTTAATCATTATATAGTGTCCTTATTCTTTGTGGTGGATTTCACTTTAAAGTGTGTTTTGTCAGAGATTAATATTGCCACTCCTGCTCTTTTTTGATTGCTGTTTGCTTGATACATTTTTTTCCATTCTTTGAGTTTTTGTTTGTGTCTTTAAGTCTCAGTTGTGTCTCTTGTAGGCAGCACATAGATGAATTGTGTTTTTTTTATGCATTCTGCCACTCTCTGTCTATTTATTGGTGCATTTAGTCCATTTACATTCAGCGAAATTATTGATAGGTGTGAGTTTATTGCTGTCATTTTGATGTATTTTTTTGTGTATTGTTGACTATTTCTCTGTTCCACTTAATTTTCTGTGCTGAGTCATTATTCTTTATGTATTTTCTTTTCATCCTTTTCATTGTTGTTGATTTTGTGTTTGCTGAGTCTTTATGTTTTTCTTGTTGTTTATTTTGATGTGTAGGATTGTTCGTTTCCTTTGTGGTTACCTGAATATTTACCCCTGTTTTTCTAAGTTTAAACCAGTCTTTTATTTGTTTATATCACCTTGACTTCCTCTCCGTATGAAAGATCTATGACTACATTATTTAGTCCCTCTTTTTTGTTTTAATGTTGTCATCTTTTATATGTTGACATCTTTGTTTTCCTGTTTTCGGTGTTTTAGATTTTATTTATTTGTGACTTCTCTGTCGGGGTTAATATCTGGTTTTTCTGTCCTGTGTTCTAGTCTTGGGTTTTATCTGATGTTACTGATTTTCTAAATGGAGGACTCCCTTTAGTATTTCTTGTAATTTTGGTTTGGTTTTTACAAATTCCCTAAACTTCTGTTTATCTGTAAATGCCCTAATTTCACCATCATATTTTAGAGACAGTTTTTCTGGATGTATAATTCTGGACTGGCAATTTTTTTCCTTCAGGACTTCATATATGTTATCCCATTGCCTTCTTGCCTGCATAGTTTCTGCTGAGTAGTCTGAGTTTAGTTTTATTCACTCTCCTTTGTAGATGACTTTTTGTTTGTCCCTAGCCGCTCTTAAAATTCTCTTTATCTTTGGTTTGGCAAGTTTGATTATAATATGTCTTGGTGACTTTCTTTTGGGATCTACCTTGTGTGAGGTTCGATGAGCTTCTTGGGTAGCTATTGTCTCATCTTTCATGATATCAGGGAAGTTTTCTGCCAACAAATCTTCAACAATTGTCTCTATATCTTCTGTTATCTGGTACTCCAATCACTCATAAGTTATTCTTTTTCATAGAGTCTCACATAATTCTGAGAGTTTCTTCATTTTTTAAAATCCTTTTATCTGATTTTTCCTCAAATAAGTTGGTGTCAAGTGCTTTATCTTCAATCTCACTAATTCTGACTTCCATTGCCTCAGTTCTGCTCTTATGACTTTCTATTAAGTTGTCTAATTCTGAAATTTTATCGTTAATCTTTTGGATCTCCTTCCTGATTCCTCGAAGAGCTCTGTGTATTAATCTTTTGAATTCTACCTCCAGTAATTCCAAGAAGTTCTCTTCCTCTGGAAGATTGCTTGAATCTTTGTTTTGGGAGCCTGCTGAAGCCATCATGGTCTGCCTCTTTATGTGATTTCATATTGATTTTTGTCTCCGAGCCATCAATAAGTTATTATATTTATTTATTTTATGTTTGCTTACTGTGTGCTAGCTTCTTGTTTTGTTTTGATATGCCCAAATAGGCTGGTCATGTGAGCTAGTTTGATTATTGGTGCCTTTGAAGCTCTCACGTCGTGTCACCAGGTGTTCAGAGCTGTTACTAGGTATGTGAGCCCAGGAGTCCATTTACTTTTCTTGTATGGATTCAGCTCAGCTGTCCAGGTAGTTTGTCACCAAGTGTTTGATGCAGGCTCTCACCTACAGTCCTAGACAGGCAGGGGCGATTGGAGTAGGTACAGGTATTTGGTTGTAGTAGGGGGTCATGCATTGAGCAAGGCATGGGGCTGATGGCTGCCCCTGAATGTCTGAGAGGAAAGCATGTCCCTGTTCCCTAGAGTGCATAGGGAGGTGAGTTTTGCAGCTGGACTATGGGCACCCAGTGCTACTGGCTATAAGGACTGGGAGGACCACTTATTCTTGGACCCCTGTCGCGGGTGGCTAGGTGGTGTGAGTGGAGCCTCCAGTCCTCAGGCCCCTGATGGGGGTAGTTGAGGACCCTGCTTAATGGACAGAGTGGTGTCAAATGTCACGAACCTACCAGTCTACCATATAGCTGATGTAGTTGAAATTAGGCGTCTTTTATATACCCTGTTGTACTGTGCTGATGAGGGCCTTTGCTGTTGAAATGAGCCCACACAAGTCTATGCAGTCATGAAAGGTGTTCAAAGTCCGTGAACCCCTTATGCCTGTGACTAGGTAAAGGAGCTGTCCTTGCCCTGAGGTCCTGGCTTAGGGGAGCTGGCCAATTATTTATTCCTGTTTGTTAATTTGTTCCCTCTCCAAAGCTGGGAGAATGGCTTAGGGCATGCAAAGGGTCCTACTTCCAGCCCAGGGGACAGCAATCACTGAAGCCGGCCTGGACCTGGTGCAGAGTGGGGAGGGGGCAGGTAAATGGGAGAGAGGTTCTTCCCAAAGGGAGTGTGTTTTGATCTGCACGGTAGGTTAGATGCATGTACTTATGTTTTGCTGATTGAGTGCCACTTCTTGCTGGTTGTGGCGGGTTGAGTACACCCTTCTCTGCTCAGTCTCTCCCGATGTGAAAAACGAGTCCCAAGCGCCACTGCTTGCCTCACCGCGCATGCCAGCTGATCCAGCCTGCAGGGTGCCATTTTCTGCTGGGTCAGGTCTGGCAACTCCTCACTGCTTCTGAACCATCTCTCCCTCCCCCTACCACTCAGTCCAGTTCCTCAGCTTTGCCTTTGATGTTTAGGGCTCCTAGATTGTCATATATAATAGATTCACTTGTTTTTTCAGGTCTTTGTTGTAAGAGAGACCACAGGAAG